TACAGCCTTTTTCTGTTTTTTCATGGTAATTTCTACAGTCACACACTCCAGCAAGTTATCAACAGTCCTTGACATGCTCTCGACTTTTTCATAACAGAAGTTATTATCTATGTACAAGGCCACACCACCTCCCATCTTATTCTCTCTGTTTGTGCATACCAAGTCGTACCCGTCAAGGTCAAAATCCACTCCCCTTACATTATTAATCCAGGTTTCAGTAATAGCAATTATATTAAAAGCATGTGTAAGACTACAAAGATAATGCTTTATACTCTGAAAGTTAGCGTACAGACTTCTGCTATTAAAGTGAATTAATGATAATTTGTTTTCAGTCTTGACATTGCTGTTAAACTGCTCATCCGTGTAATATTTGCAGTTATTTTCAAGGTTCTTGAAAAAGTTTTCTTCAGGGTCAAAGCCTTCGTCCGTTTGATAGTGCATTTCAGTGTCTGCAAATGTGTTCAGTTCCAGATCCCGTCCCTCAAAATCTATTAAATTCTGTAGTAAATCACTGGTCTCATATCGTCCATTAGTCATGCTGGGTGTTGATGGTTCCACAGCTCATCTGCCATCGCAGATATCAGTAAGCTTCTTCAGACATGAGAGGGTCCCGCGGCCCCATCATACTTTCTGTGCCTAAAGTTCACCATGTATAAGGTGGTGGGAATAAATCACACATGTGCAAGTCTCTAGCAAGTCCCAAGTTATTGTGGTGAAAATGAATGAAGTTAACTTCCTCTGATGATTAATTGTGCATTCGTAGGCTATAAACAAACCCTTAGCTATTAAATATAAAGACATGCCTTGCAATGACAGATAAAGCTGGATGTTGTATTGGTTGTGCTGCTGATTTCTGCACTGTAGACTTTGCATACCACTGCTCTCTTCTTACCATCATTGACAACATAATCCTTGACTCTAAACTGTATTATTTTTGGGCTCTGTCCCTCCATTATAAGTGCATTCTGTGACCCGTGTTACCCTCTGCTGGTTGGCTGCTTTTTGGTAGGTTGCCAGGTTTACACATATTACAATAGAAATCACCTGTGTTTCAAAAACAAAATGTAAAACTCAATATCTAGAAAAATGCAAATATTTCATTAAAAAAGTGAAGTAATTTAAAGTCATCTGTCTCAAGTCTAAGTCTCAAGTCATGAATTGTTTCATCATAGCCTATTATTTTGTACCATTTAGTTTATCTTTATTACTTGAATTCAGTTGTCATATTCTATTCTCTGTTTATTCTACTTTTAGTCTATTTTAGTTTTTTAAATGATATGGGCATTCAACACTAGGTGAGAGAGAAACAGTATTTTGATTTTTCTGTATGTCCTGCACATATAGTGAATTGACAATAAAAATCTTTCATCTTTGATCTTGATTTTTGAATAGGAAGTCAATGTCAAGTTGAGTCCCCAAATTTATGTAACTCAAGTCCCCCACCTCTGGGACCAACATAGTTATTGTACATTTTGATGTAAAACTGGGTTGATAAAGGTGTATAGCTCTACCGATACTGTTAGTGCACATACAGATATACACATAGCCAACTTAAGGCAAAATTCAGGCACAATATTAACCCTGCTTATCTCAGAAACATTTATATGGTTTATATGACGCGGGATGTTCTAGAGTTTATAAAGGGAGTAGACTTGCTGAATCAGCATTCGCGCAATTCTTCTCTGATCTATAGGCTTAACTTAAACATTTCCTTTGAATCTCAGTGGCCTTTTAAACTACGTTACCCACACTGCATATCGCGTTAACGTCATCACAACAGGAAGAGAACCTGATGGGTAGAGCAGTGTGGCAGCAGCATAAATGAGTGTACTGTAAATCATTGTTTAGCAGAAAAATGTTTCCCTTTCAACCAAAGTCGATGGACGGCACACAGGATCAGCAGAACCCCTTTAGCAAAAAACAGTAAACCCACCGGTGAGGCTTTGTTCCCTAGGTTCATCCCGGTAGACCGTTCACCTATGATGGAAAGGGCGATGGAGCAACTCAACGTACAGCTCAATCGGCTGACCCGTTCCCTCCGGAGGGCCAGGACCGTGGAACTCCCAGAAGGTAATACTACAGATTGTTAAAGGTGTTTGTCAAAACTGGGCGAGCTTGGCAGCCTGTGGCCTTCACGTGCTAAAACATTCGTAGTGAGGTGTCATAGCACTACTTCGGCCTCTGTCACTGTCACTTAAAGTACACCTGGTTTGTGTTTACTTTGTCTTTTCGCATTGACAGCCGACCACAGGGGAGCAGGAAGTGAGAGGGAGCATCTCTGTGTTGTTATTCTGTCTGCCTTCAGAGGACATGGACCTCAACTTCTTTTAAATCAGAATCAGAACCAGACTAAATGACTAAAACGTTGCCACTGGAATTCTTGGCTCTTTCTTTGTGAGAAAACAGATTCTTGTACAATATTGTGTAGGTTCTGGCAAATATGGTAACTTCTTATAGTCTGCAGTGACAAGCTCATATCTTTTAATTTGGTCTTATCATGACTATCATATTTCTTCTATCAGGAACTTCGATTATCTGATAAATGTGCCATAAAATGGATGAAACAAATGGTGATCCATGGTAGTGGTAGAGTTCATGGTAGAGTACCATTAATTTGGAAATCTCCCATGGTTAAATATGGCTATGGCTGAATGAGATTATGAATATAATAAACAGTCTACTATATTCTATACAGTATTGTACAATACCACACACATATATATAGCTTTTATTTTACCATTGGGAGCAGTGGAGAAATAGAACTAAAAACACCCTCTTTGATTCCCCATCTCCCATTGTTATAGCATATGCCCATAATACTGTACCTTCTTTCTTAATTATGGTATTTTTGACAGTACAACATGCAGTCCTTAACAAAAGAGCCATCATTAACCACAACACTATTCTATACATCAGTCAGGTTATGGATACAGAACTTTAAAATGGAAGTGTATGTTGGGTATGTACTGTATGTGTATGAATCTTTTTCACAGCACAGACTCTGTCTTGTCATAGCAGCAAAAACACTGGTGGTACTGACATTAATGGTGGATCTGGGTTATTTGTGCACCCCAAGATGACAGTGTGATGGAGAGTGAGAATACCAGGGTCCTGAAATTGTAGTTAATTGGGACATCACCATATTTCTGTGCCAAATATACCTGTTAAGGCACTTTCCCGTTTTAGCAAACATAAGTAAATTCTGTGCATGGAACATGGAATTATTGTGTACTGTTTTTGGTATTCCACTTAACCCATTGTAGTGACTCCCCTGCTCTTTGAAAGCTTTATAGGAACTGCAGTGCAATGTTAAGAAAAGACTCATTTTGTACCAATGTGCAAAATTTACCAGAAAAATATTTGTTTATTCATTCAAAAATGAAGTTAAAAACATAATACAGGGACAATAATTTGCCAATACACTGTCTTTGATGACATCTAATGGCAGCTTGCAGGAACTTCTAGGTTTAGTTGGTATCTACCACTGTACACAATTCAGTGATTCTGAACTCAAGAGTTTATTTCTTTATTTACTAAGCAGTTGAAGCTTAAAATTGAATTAATGAATATATATATCCCAAGAGTCCATTCAGAACATGTGGTAAATGTTCTGAATTCCTATAGCCAGTGATGCTTTTCAGGCTTCTCCACACAGACGAGGGGTCACTGGCTGAAACCTGAGCTTTCAGCTTTTCAGAGTAGCTCCTCTTTGCTGATCTCCCTTGTCAGTGTGTTCCTGGCCTGGCTATACAGAGTCCTGTCCCCACTTCTCTAGCCCTCCTCTTTGGCATGATGAAGCTGCTTGAGTTTTACTGTGAACCAGGACTTGTTGTATGTGCAGAAGGTCTTGGTGGGCACACACATGTCCTCACAAAAGATGATGTATGATGTCACAGTGTCAGTGGTCAGAGAGACCGAGGGCTGCATGGGGAACAGAGCGAGAGGCATATTTTATTGCCATGTAGTCTATTCTGTGACATTTTGGTTGTCATATATTTGATTTGCTGCATCTTGCACAGGTCTTGATGGATCTGAATAGAATACAATACAGCTGCCACAAATGATTATTGATTAATCAAAATTCAGCTAATTATTACTTTTATAAAATGCCTGAATATTAAAAAAAAATTGTCCATCTTAATTTATGAACCAGACCCCACACACAGTTCAAAACCCAAAAGTATTCACTTTACAATAATGAAAGTAGTTTTCAATCTTTTCTTTTAACTAACTTTCAACTGTCTTGTTATTTATGTTCTATTAATTCAAATTCTAATTCAAATTATATTTGTATAGTGCCAAATCACAACAAAAGTAATCTCAGGACACTTTACAAAGTAAGGCCCCTAGGCCTTTCAATTATTATTATAGAGGAAAAACCCAACAAATCCCCCTTGAGCAAGCACTTGGTGACTTTGGGGAGGAAAAACTCCCTTTAACGGAAGAAACCTCCGACAGACCCTGGCTCTTGGTGGGCAGCCTTCTGTCTCAACTGGTTGGGGTGAGTGGATAGAGGAGAGAGCAAAGAAGAAAAGCAACAGGACACAACAAACAATCAAACACTGGTCAGGTTGATGTGGCTGGTGACTGCTCATCAGAAAGACCTGCAGCCTGAGGGCGAAATGATGATTCAACATAAATATTGGTGATGTCCACATGCTAGCTTTTTCTAGGTGTTATAGAGAAAACAGTGACAACTGAGTAGACCCACTGTCCTGATGAAGACTGCAGAATGCAGTTGAACAAGCTTTAAAATAAGTGAACCTTGAGTTAAGATTTTTTTGTTTTTGGTCAAAGGAATAAGGTTGCTTGAAGGTTGTTGAAGTCAATTTTTAGTATCATCACGTTTTTTATCACAGCTTTTCTTTATCAGTGAGTCTTTTGAGTTGAGTTGAAAATTGAAAAATATTTTTTAAAAACCCTACCATAAGTTCTCACAGCCATTTTAAATGCCTTGTCCACAGCCCAATAATATAAAATGATACAAAACAGAGAAAAGCAGCACATTCTCATTTTTGGGAAATTAGAACTAAGATGTTTGAAAATTTTGTTTGTTAAACAACTGATATGATTAATCAGTCATTAAAACTGAATAATTTAGTTTGAGCTCTGTTGATAATGCCATCACTGTTGACTGTCACACCTCACTGTCCTCTCATGTAATCTACTAAGATGTACTGTCTGTTTTGTACTCTTTTCTTCCTTCCTTCATAGACAATGAGACTGCAGTGTACACTCTTATGCCAATGGTCATGGCTGACCAGCACAGGTAAACATCCAACTGTATAACATGAGCGGTGTATTAATGTTGGTTCACACTTCAGGCACAATTCATGTATTGTTCACCTGCTTCAGTAGTAACAGTGTCAAGTGTTTTTTCTTTATTCTGCACACCCGTTACACCTGTAGCAGTATAGTGATTTGCCGTTGCCTCCAGAAGAGATTATTCACTGGCTCTCTCTAAAAGGTCAGTGTCAGAGCTGCTGCTCAACTCTAAGTTTGACGTGAACTATGCCTTTGGACGGGTGAAGAGAAGTCTGCTCCACATCGCTGCCAAGTAAGATATTATTGTTCACGCCTTCCTGGCAAAATATTCAGCAGTGTTGTGTGCAGAGTAGGGGGGGGTATAAAATCTGTAGTGTGTGTGATGACATGGAGGTTCATAGCGGAGTGAGTTTGGCTGATGTATCTTATTGCAGATATACTAGATAGGCCAATTGAGTACTTCATTAATCCTCAAAGAGAAATTACTACCTTTGTATAGATTGCCTGATAAATAAGAAAGAAATTGAAGTGCATACATTTTGTGGTTGATTTTTCTGATCAGTGTTTGTATAAAAAAAAAGAAAGATGTAATTATCAGATTTTTAAAATGTTCAAGGCCTAATGTCACTGTGTATTAATATCAGACAGATTTTCACATGGGTGGTTTTGATATATCAAAGGATATCTGTAAAGCAATTTTAGGGGTCTTGGGTAGTTTCCTTGAAGTGTAATGTCAGTACAGTAAGCTAGCCAAAAAATGACAACCCAATCCATTTTTCTGCTGCTTTGAAATCTATTAGCAGGAAATGAATAGTCATTTTTAGTGTATGGGCCAACTACTGGAAATATATTATTGAAATCCATGTGTTCTGTTGGTCCACATGTCAAACATTATATTGAAAAACATTCAGTTATTCATATTTTCCCATGACAGTTATACCCCTCAATCCTTAGTCAAGCTCATCTCAATAACTGAATGGCCAGTTCTTTCACATTGTAAAAAACATAACTTAGAAGGTTTTCACACCTTTTTAAGTTTTCCACATTTTGTTATGTTTCAGACTCATCTTTAAATGGACTCTATTCATTTTTCCCCTCATCAATATATACACAGTATTCAAAACAATACAGTTAAAACAGGTTTGTGGAGTGTTATGTAAAGTTAAAAGAATGAAATATCCCATTTACATAAGCATTCAGACCCATCACTTAGTACTTGGTTAAAGCACCTTTGGCAGCAATGACAGCCTGAAGTCTTCTTGAGAATGAAGCAGCAAGCTTGGCACCTTTATTCTGGAAATTTCTTCCATTCTTTTTGACATAATTGTTCTAGTCCAACCAGGTTGGATGGGGAGCGTTGGTGCACAGCCATGTTCTGATCTCTCCAGAGATGCTTAGTTGGGTTCAGGTCTGGACTCAGACTCGGCCGCTCCAGGACTTTCACAGAGTTTTCCTGAAGAATTATTTTCTATGTTTTCTTGACCGTGTGCTTTGGGTCATTTTTCTGTTAAAATGTAAACCTTCACCCCGGCCTTAAATCCTGAGCACTCTGGAGGTTTTCAGTCATAATTGATCTCTATCCCGACTAGTCTCCCAGTCCCAGTGACAGAAAACCATCCCCACAGCCTGATGCTGCCACCGCTGTGTTAGGCTGAAGGGATGGTATTAGTGAGGTGATGCTCCGTGCCTGGTTTTCTCCATACACACTGTTGGGAATTGTGGCCAAATAGTTCAGTCATTGTTTTATCAGACCAGAGGATTCTGCTTTTTGTGGTCTCAGAGTCCTTCAGGTGCCAAACTCCCAGCTAGTGGTTGGAGAAGTACTCAGATTCTTTAAGTAAAATTAGAAACATGACAGTTTAAAAACACTCTGTTACAAGTAAAAGTACTGCAGTCAAAATGTTACTTAAGTAAAAGTTCAACGTACTAGTATCAAAATATACTTATAGTACCAGAACATTCAAGCTAGGCTCCACCAAATGCATAATTAACACATTCTAAGAATCGGACAGTCTGCACATAAAAGTAAACATATGTTTCCTTAACCGAGCATAAAAAAAGTAGGGGGATATTAGAGGAAAGAAACATATCACTGGCACTCATCCCTCTCAGCAATAAAAAAAAAGAATCCGAAATACATAATTATATGCAACCTGGGCCTTTTTTGTCATTCTTTTGCTATAAGAGCAAAGAAGGACAGTAAGATTTAAACAACAAAACCTTCACAGCATCAGTGCAGTTCCCAAATTTGCAAGCCAGGGTATTGACCAAAATGGGATACTTCAGTCTTTTATTCTTAATAAATTAACAAAACACTACAAAAACCTGTTTTCATTTTAACTTTGTGAATTGCTGTGTGTAGATTGATGAGAAAAACAAATGTATTGAAGCCATTTTAAGACAAGTCTGAAACAAAAAAAATGTGTAAAACCTTGAAAGGGTCTTTATTTATCCACTGTAAATAAGTGAGGTCTATTTGTGTGCAAAACCTAATAACTTTGTAGCTCCTATTGAAACCATTGAGGTTTTTGGAATAAGCAGTAGGACACTGTTTCTTGAAAGAAATGTTGCTGTTGAAATCTGAGACAGCTGACGGGTACCGGCAGGCCAAGCGAGCTGCAGCCCAGGCGGTTGCGGAGGCAAAAACTCGGGTCTGGGAAGAGTTCGATGAGGCCATGAAGAAGGACTATCAGTCGGCCTCGAAGAGATTCTGGCAAACCGTCCGGCGCCTCAGGAGGGGGAAGCAGTGCCCTGCCAAAACTGTTTACAGTGGAGGTGGGCAGCTGTTCACCTGTTCCAACTATAGGGGGATCACACTCCTCAGCCTCCCTGGGAAAGTCTATGCCAGGGTACTGGAGAGGAGAATTCAACCAATAGTCGAACCTCAGATTCAGGAGGAACAATCAAATCAAATCAAATCAAATTTTATTTGTATAGTGCCAACTCACAACAAAAGTCATCTCAGGACACTTTACAAAGTAAGGTCTAGACCTTACTGTTATCAATATTATTACATAGGGAAAACCCAACAAATCCCCCTTGAGCAAGCACTTGGCGACAGTGGGGAGGAAAAACTCCCTTTAACGGAAGAAACCTCCGACAGACCCCGGCTCTTGGTGGGCGGCCTTCTGCCTCGACCGGTTGGGGTGAGTGGATAGAGGAGAGA